GTCCGGTCTAATTCCCGGGTACAACCGGTCCGATTGCACAGCCTTGGCTTAAATTCAACTGCAATAATGCAAATGCATGCATTCGATTTCACCTAATCATGAATTGGAGCATATTTTCCGGGATCGTCTATAATGCCGTGCCCACTTTTCACAAAAAAAGCGATCGCGCCAGGTTTTGGACCATCGGATCAAAGAGATTCGTCAGGTTAGAAATACTCATTATTAGCTGTTGGACGGGCAACGGTAATTGTGGTGTGTAAAGTCTTGTGGCACCGAAGAAGAGTCCCTAGTTCACGTATCATCGTCGCCGCCACAATCAGCTCGAATAGTGGACATTCCCTTAATTCGAAATTAGTACTCAATTGCTTTGAACTTTTGGAGTTGACTTTACTCCTGCAAGGATGCATGCAAGTGAACTTTTTGGCTTTAGAAAATTAGAATCACTTAAAACCGTCTAATTGGTTATAGTAGTGGTTAACGGAGGACTGAGTTGTGCACGTGAATTTAGCGCACGACATAATTCAAATTTTTTTATATTATCGAGTGTACTTTAAGAGCTATATCTTTCTCTATCTTCGACTTTCTCCTGCTAAACTTTTGTTTGGTTGGTTACAAATGTGTAAATCACTCGCATGCAAAGTATAATCTATTATCCCTAAATGTGGACAATAAATTTACCAGTAGATTACACGTACATTTTACATGATGAAGATTATAATACTCATTCTATTTCGGCAAATATTAATAAAAATTAAAGCCGAAGAACCGATCATGATAATGTTTCCCATCATTTTTTTTATTGTAGCAATGTGTTTTTAACTGAACAAACTAAACGGCGTTTTTTGTTACTCTTAAATACAAATAAATGCTTCGTAGAAAATATTTTGCATATAAGGCGATTTTGCATTTAAGACGGCACGGACAATACTTCAAATTAAATTTCTAGAGGAGAGATCTCTAGCAAATAAATAGACGATTCGATGAAAGAATAAACGCATTAAAGGTACAAAAGACAAAATACCCCGTCAAATTTTCGAACCGGACAACAATTTTCGTTAATCTTAAATACAAATAAACGATTCTTCGAAACGATTCTGTATTGAAGGCGGCAAGGACAATCCTCCAAATTAAATTTCTAATGGAGAGATCTCTAGCGAATGGATAGACGATTCCGTGAAAGAACAAACGCATTAAAGGTACAAGCGACAATACATCGCATTAGATTCTCGAAAAGGCCGGATAGAAATTGAATTTCTCGACCAATCAGCGATCAGAAACGAGGAACTCGATCAGTTCGTGACGACAAAAAACACTAAGCAAATTAAAACAAAATGTACATTTTCGAATCAAATAGCTTTACCCTTGATTTGTTTTAACTTGTTCTATTTGAATTGATAAGCATTTCCTTAGCAAGCATAGTGCCTTGACCCCATCAATGACTAAAATCATCGTAACACGCGAGAACAAGATTCGACTAGCTCATGCCCCAAAAAAAAAAAACAAAATTCCTTGATTTTTCATGAGAAGGGGATTTTTCTAATTATATACATGAACTTAATTTTTTGGGTATTTTTTGGGAAGCCCACTTTATCTTTATTTTTTTATTTTCAGAAAATACTTTTGTAGCAAAATGAATAAATGCGGTCCCATTTTTTGCACATTTTCCGGATCAAATGCGACAAAATAACCAAATAATGACGACGGAGCATGTACCAACTGCTGGTAAATCTGGCCCAAAAAAAAAAAAACTGCTGGTAAAAAAAAACAGAAAAAGAAAAGCGAGAAAATATGTTTAGCTGGGGCCCAAGGCTTTATTGCCACGTCAGACACAGGCCACCTGAGGATGATATTACGATACTGCCCTCTGCGCTCGAACGATGGCAAAACAGTAAATAAGCTCCAGCAGGAAGCGCTAGATTTCACGGCCGGGTGCTTTAGATTTTTTTACAGGAGATCTTGACCGTCCATCCGATCCAACAGTAGATCTCGCGAGATCGTCATCCTCGTCCTTGCGCTGCCGAATCCGACGTGGCCACCCGCGACGGCAAGCGCGTGACGAGCACGTGCACAAATAGGTATCGTGATCAAAGGGAAAATAGGGACTCGAGTTGATGATATCTTTTTCAGGTGTGCATTACATAATAATTGTAGCTCGGAATATAGTAAAAAGCATGAAAAAATATATTACTCGAAAAATGTTTCGTAAAAAGCAAAATAAGGGAATCTCCGGAGATCCGGGATCTCGCTACGGAAGAGAATCCTTGTCTTTTTCTCGGACCTCACGTTGATCGCGATAGGCAGGTCTTAACTAATCGGTCGAGTTTGAGTGAACCTTATAAAGTAAGGAATTTATTGTTTCGCTACTTCTGTTACGGCGAACATGTGAGGGGGTGATAGAGAAATCCATCATCGAAGATCTAATTTGTTGGCGAGCGTTAATGTATTCTAATCAGCCCGTCATAACTCATCGGTTTAAAAATTTAAGTGAAGAAGGACCGCTAAATAAATGATTGGTCCTAGCCTTGGGTTCCCTCTTAGTGTTCTCCTCAAGATGAGATATCAAGCTTTTATCGTGCATATGAAAGAAGGATGTCGAAGCAACGATTGATCGACGGGTGCCCAAAAGTGGATCTACGCTGGAGAATACAATTGATAAATCAATACAAAACATGTTCACGAGCGCAAATCAAAAGCATAATCTCTCATGATTCATTCATTGATTCAAAGGGGTAAGCTGTTTTTTTTTTTGCAAAGAAAACATTACCAATATATTGACCACAAACCCTAACAAATCTAAGAATATTAAAACTAAAAAAAAAAGGATAAACTCTAACCTAATGAATTGAATAGCTACCAAAATTAAATAGAAAAAACCTAAGAAATCAAGCTATATTTTCACATTCTAAAAAACCCTTTAGACAAGGAGAATAAATTTCGAAGATTGTCACATCCCGGCGCTATTTTCTCCCAAGCTTCATCATCTTTCGTCACAAACTTCAAAATGCTCGATCTTCAATTGCATCCTCTCGAAAAAAACCCGTGTGATTTGAACTTTAAGATAACTCGTATTTCTTTTCCTCGAGAAAATCCCCAAATGAAAAATTTTAATTGGACCCTAGAAATCTTTCGAAATTACAAACAATATCTACCGTACATTCTCTTCTTTTCCATGAGGAACCTCATTCGATTCTGGTTCTACATCAAACCCTAGTCGACATTTTCCTTCAAGATTATTTCTTTGCCATCACCAAACTTCAAACCATTTTTTTCTTCTCGAGAAAGTCTTCTCCATGGTCCAAGGCCTCTTAACTTTCCAAGAGGAAAGTCAAAAAATTTCAGCTTCTTAGTCAATTTCTTGGCTAATTTCTTAATCAAAGTTGGTTTCAAGAGAAATTGAGATCTCTTGAACTCGACTTTAAGGTCAAAATTACCATCATGATTGGTGAGGCGAGAGGAGAGACGGTGGGTTAAGGCACGTAGAGCTACAACAAGGAGTCTTGAATTGATAGTGATGGTTGTTGGCGTATCGCCACCTCAATCTTCCTATGCATGGCAAGAAGATTCAAGTTGAAATACGTTGGTGCAAAATGATATTTGGATTGATAGGGAGTGGGTCAAATATGGAAGTCTCACACATGAGGAGGAGATTGTTAATATGCACCTTGGGATAGCGATAGCGAAGCAGTCTCGTATTGAGGATTTAGGTGGCGGGGAGCAATTAATATATATTTTGATTGACTTATAACCCAACTTAATATGTTAGTTGGTTCGTACTTGAGCTCTCTTTTGATACCCTAAGATGATTTGTTGGAATTTTGCTGGGCTTCCAGATAATAAGAAAATAATTAATTCAGCTTTAAACTTATTGTACGGATGTCAATTCAGTCTGTACTTTTTTAATTTCCCCAATGTAGTCCTAAACCTTTGTACAGAATTTCAATGTATTCATCCAAACAATTGCCATTGAAAAATTGCCGACCGGGCAATCCACATATGATGTGTTTCGAGGAGTAAAGTTGTCTACGTCACCGTGCCACATATGATGGCCGTCGATGACTGGACGAGCAATTTCCGGCGGTAATTAGGCTATCTTGGCAGTTCACGGAAAATTTTAGGACTATGCTGGCAAAATTGAAAAACTTAATATTGAATTAACATCCGCACAATAGTTGTTAGACTGGTTTGATAATTATCCCCCAATAAAGTATGTTCAATACATTGAGAAATGAAAAACGTCTCTTTACCAAGGCTCCATTAGTTTCAAGAGAAATGAACGGTTCGGAAATCACCTTTTCCTAAAAATGATCGTTCGTATCGCTCGAAATAATCGATCGATGAAAAATGTTTTCATTGCCCACAACGATTCATGTCCAAAATTGTTCGCGGGCAGATGAAATATTTTTCGTCCATTCGTTTTCGCAGGCAATCATTTCTAAGAAAATATATTTTAAATTATTTATTTTTTACGAAACATTATAGTCCTAAGTATAGTATGACGGCCTATATGGGGACCATAAAATCTCAACATAATCATGCAATTAGGGCTCGTGACAAAAGGGATGGGGGGGGGGGGGGCTAATTAATTAAAAGGGGAGGGGGGGGGGAAGGAATCTCTCCCCACTAATTGACAGCGACGGATCCATCCTTAAATCGCACGTACGCGGAAAAGCTAGAGAGACAAAGACACAATTCTAGAGAGGGAAACCCCGGAAAGAAACGGGGCACAGCTTAATCATTATATAGTAACCAGCGAGCAGCAGCAGCAAGAAGAGGAGGAAAGAAGTGCAAAAATTTCGGTGGTCATCACCACCCAAACAGAAGCAAAAAGGAAGAGAGAAGAGAGAAGAGATAGAGAGAGATAGAGAGAGATTAAGAAATTGATTTAGGAGCGCCCCCCCACTCCTTAATCACACACGATCGGGAGGAGAGAGAGAGGGAGAGAGACAAACGGACAAAAAACCCCTCATAAGTGCAGATAGCAGCTAAAAGGAGGAGGAGGAGAAGATAAGGGAAGTTCCACGCTCACAAAAGAGAGGGACAGAGAGATGATGTATAAAGAAATGAATTTTACCTGCTGTTCTTTCCATTTTATGGAGGGAGGAGAAGCTGGGTTCAGAGGGTCACATGGCATGTGAGCACCAGCTGTGTCCACTCCCCTCCCCTCCTCTCTCTCTCTCTCTCTGTCTTTCTCTTGCTTGATATATACCCTCCTTCATCTTCCTCTGCTCCAGTTTCTCTTTTTCACTCTCTCTCCCTCTCTCTGTTTCTCTTTCTGAGCATCAAGAAGGCCGCTTTCTCTGTCTCTCTCTCTCTCTCTCCTCTCCCTGCGCTGCAGTCGCCTGCCTGAGTCTGAGCTCTCTCTAATGGCGGAGCTCGGCCCCTGAGCAGCTCGTTCTCTGACAAACCTCGAGGAGGAGGAGGAGGAGGAAGGAAAGAGAAAATGACCCACCTCTCTCTCTTGCTGCTGTTCCCTCTCGTCTTCCTCACTCTTCACCAGGCTGCTTCTGCTGCTGCTGCTGCTGCTTCGCCGTCGTCGCCGTCGTCCTCCGCAGCGAACGCTGATTCTCAGCAGCTCATCGACTTCAAGAACGCTCTCAAAGACCCTACGGTCCTCCCCGGCTGGCTTCCGGACCAGAGCCCCTGTGCCTACGCTGGCGTCTCGTGCAAGTCCTCTCGCGTGGCCTCCATTGAGCTCGCCTCCCTCGGCTTGAGCACGGACTTTCACTCTGTTTCCTCCCATCTCTTGACCCTGGAGTTCTTGGAGTCTCTGTCTCTGACCTCCGCCAACATCAGCGGTGCTTTGGCCTTCCCATCCGGATCCAAATGCAGTGCGGTCTTGAGCAGCTTAGATCTATCTGGGAACGCCTTGTCCGGTCCAATCTCGGATATCGCCAACTTGGGTGTATGCCAGAACCTCAAAGTCCTCAACTTTTCCGGCAACAACCTCTCCAACTCCGTGCAAGAAAGTGCCGCCGCCGCCGCCGCCGCCTCCACCGGCCTCAAGGGGCTCGAGAATTTGCAGGTTCTTGACCTTTCCTTCAACAAGATCTCTGGGTCTAATGTCAATGTTTCTTGGGCTTTGTCCGGTGGATGCGACGCGATGACTCACTTGTCCCTGAGATGGAACAAGTTGACTGGGGATGTGGATGTCTCGAGCTGCAAGAAGTTGCAGTACTTGGACATATCCCAGAACAACATCTCAGTGAGCGTGCCTTCCCTCGGAGATTGCTCGGCCTTGGAGTATCTGGATGTGTCCTCCAACAGGTTCTATGGCGATATTGGGCGCGCGGTCTCCGCTTGCTCTCAGCTCAGCTTCTTGAACCTCTCCAACAACCACTTCTCAGGTCTAATCCCTTCGCTCCCGACCAAGAGCTTGCAGTTTCTTTACTTGTCTAGGAACGAGTTTCAGGGGGAAATCCCTCCTAGCCTTGCCGAGGTTTGCCCAGGTCTTGTCGAGCTCGATCTTTCTCAGAATAACTTGTCTGGTGTGATTCCTGCTAGTTTCAGTTCTTGCTATGCACTGCAATCTATCGACTTGTCTAACAATAACTTCTCTGGTGAGCTGCCCATGAATTTGTTCATGAAAATGAGCAAGGTGAGGAAGTTGGCTTTGTCATTCAATCATTTTGCGGGCAGTCTGCCGGTCTCTTTGTCGAATTTGACTTCGTTGGAGATATTGGATCTGAGCTCAAATGATCTCTATGGGATGATTCCTAGTGGCTTGTGTCAAGATCCTATGAATAGCTTGAAGGAGCTCCATCTTCAGAATAATCAGTTCATGGGTTCAATCCCGCCGGCCCTGAGCAACTGTTCTCAGCTGGTCTCGCTCGATTTAAGCTTCAATTACTTGAAGGGTCAGATTCCGTCGAGTCTGGGTTCTCTATCTAAGCTCCAGGATTTGATCGTTCTCTTGAATGAACTCGATGGAGAGATCCCTCAGGAACTCATGTATATTCAGACGCTGGAGAACTTGATTCTGGACTTCAATGAGTTGACGGGCGCTATCCCGTCTGGCCTGCGCAACTGCACTAACTTGAATTGGATCTCGCTCTCTAACAATCATCTGAATGGGGAGATCCCAGGTTGGATAGGGCAGCTCTCGAATCTCGCAATCCTGAAGCTCAGCAACAACACGTTCTCTGGCAGGATACCACCCGAGCTCGGTGACTCTCGCAGCTTGATCTGGCTGGATCTCAACAGCAATCTCCTCAGCGGGAGCATCCCACCGGAGCTGTTCAAAGAATCAGGCAACATCGAGGTTAAGCTCAAAAACGACAAGAGGTACGCGTATATTAAGAATGATGGCAGCAAAGGGTGTCACGGAGCCGGGAATTTGCTCGAGTTCGCCGGGATTAGGCCCGAGAAAATGAGCAGGATTTCCACCAGGAACCCCTGCAACTTTCCCAGAGTGTACAACGGTGTGACCCAACCTAATTTCAAAAACAATGGGTCGATGATTTTCCTTGATATCTCGCACAATATGCTGTCGGGCAGCATTCCGAAGGAAATTGGGTCTATGTTCTATCTGTATGTTCTGAACTTGGGCCATAACAATATCTCTGGCCCTATTCCACCCGAGATCGGGGATTTGCACACTGTTAACATTCTCGACCTATCGAACAATGAACTGGAAGGAGGCATCCCGGAGACATTGAGCAAGTTATCGCAGCTTACTGAGATCAATTTATCGAATAACCGACTCACAGGTTCCATCCCGCAGAATGGGCAGGTGGGTACTTTCCCGGCATCGAGCTTCACAAACAATACTGGACTGTGTGGGATCCCGCTTTCGCCATGCAGTTCTGACCCGGCCTCAAGCGCCAATTCCGAGCACCAGAAGTCACACCGGAGGCAAGCGTCTCTCGCGGGAAGCGTGGCAATGGGTTTGCTGTTCTCGCTGTTCTGCATTTTCGGGCTGATGTTTGTGGCGATGGAGTCGAGGAAGAGGAGGAGGAAGAAGAAGGACACCGAGCTCGATGTCTACATCGACAGCCGTTCCCAGTCAGGGCCTGCGAATGCTAGCTGGAAGCTCACGAGTGTGCAAGAGGCCCTCAGCATAAACTTCGCCACATTTGAGAAGCCCCTCCGGAAGCTGACCTTCGCTGACCTACTCGAGGCCACCAATGGGTTCCACAATGATAGCCTCATCGGCTCGGGCGGGTTCGGTGATGTGTACAAGGCTCAGTTGAAGGATGGGACCGTGGTCGCCATCAAGAAGTTGATCCACGTAAGCGGACAGGGCGACCGCGAATTCACCGCCGAGATGGAGACCATCGGGAAGATCAAGCACCGCAACTTGGTGTCGCTCCTTGGGTACTGCAAGGTGAAGGAAGAACGGCTCTTGGTCTACGAATACATGAAGTACGGAAGCCTCGAGGATGTCCTGCACGATCGGAAGAAGAACGGGATCAAGCTCAACTGGGCCGTGAGGAGGAAGATTGCGGTTGGCGCCGCAAGGGGACTGGCTTTTCTCCATCACAATTGCATCCCGCACATCATTCACCGAGACATGAAATCGAGCAACGTGTTGCTCGACGAAAACCTCGAGGCTAGGGTCTCCGATTTCGGGATGGCGAGGCTGATGAGCGCTATGGACACCCATTTGAGTGTCAGCACGCTAGCCGGCACTCCCGGCTACGTCCCTCCGGAATATTACCAGAGCTTCCGGTGTTCCACCAAGGGCGATGTGTACAGTTATGGCGTGGTCCTGCTCGAGCTGTTGACTGGGAAGCGGCCGACGGATTCGGCCGATTTCGGGGACAACAATCTCGTCGGGTGGGTGAAACTGCACGCCAAGGCGAGAATAAGCGACGTCTTCGACCAGGCGCTGATAAAAGAAGACCCCAACCTTGAGATCGAGCTGTTGCAGCACCTGAAGGTTGCCTGCGCGTGCCTGGACGACCGCCCGTGGCGGCGCCCCACGATGATCCAAGTCCTAGCGATGTTCAAGGAGATACAGGCAGGGTCGGGCTTCGACTCCATATCCACCATCGCCACAGACGACGGGGGTTTCAGCTCGGTGGAAATGTCGGACCTGAGCATAAAAGAAGGCCCGGAGTTCGGCAACCAGTAGCCTAATCGAGTCGAAACCCCATCATTTTTCGAAGAGGAAAATTTTCCCGACCAATGCGCAAACAGCGAAAAGGCTGTAACGGTTTCTAGTCAGCTCGAGATCCAATTTTTCCAACAATCTTCTTTAGTATGGTTCCGGTTAGTCGTGGTCGTCGCCGTCGTCCTCTGTATCTCTGCGAATTCGATGTATGTATCATCCATGTAATTCACAAAACAAGACTCTTGTTCTTCATACGTATAGGGGCTGGTTTTCCTTTGAACTTTTGCCACAAGATGTGTATATATTTGGCCTTTAGCTGAAATGTGTTCTTGCCTTTTTCTCAGTCATCAGTCTCTCTTTTGGATTCCTCCCTTTGGAGCATATTCTGGTTTCAAAGATCGCGTGTGATTCGAAAGCAGTTGAATATCTTCTCTTCTGTGATGGGTTCCCCTCTCGCAGTGATGGCGACCAACTGAAAAGTGTACTTTTCGGCTGGGTTTTTCTTCACATATCTCTCTCTCTCTCTCTCACTTGTACACAAACACATTGGAACGACATTGTTTTTGGGATTACTAATATAATTGCGTACATCGAAAAAAATAATTTATGTTACTTGGGTATCGGGAAAACGTTTATTCTCAATTCGGAAGCGCGATACTCTAGCAACCAGTTCTATCTGACCAATGTGCTCGATTGAAATTTAAAGAATTATCAACCATTCGATATGCAATTTGTTCGGCAAGCGTTACGATGAAACCTCTAAATTCACGAATGCGTAATGTGGTGGTTTTTTCTTCAATTCAAACTTTGTGCTAACTGGCTTGTAAATTTTCTACATTTTTCAACTTGGGCACCACAGCAACACCAAAATAATTCCTTTTTTTTTTCTCTTTGTTTTTTCTTTTTTAATATTTTATTTGGTTGTGCCCTCTAGGCTCCAGCTTAGCCAATTGAGATTAAATAATCAAAGTCATAAATCTGACAAGCTGCAAATTTGCAGGCACCAACTTGGCATGCTGTTTTAATAACAAATGATTTCACTTCTTTCCATAGCATAGATTGAATAAGGAATGGAGGAGGGTGTCTGTTTTTCCATGGACCAAAGTGCATCACACGTGCTTGACCAGCAACATGACAATTCCAACTTTCATTTCAAGCCAGAGGGAGTCCGTGCCTTCACTTCACTGCCTCTCTTTCTTATTTGTATTATGAAAATAATGAAAACAACTGTCGTTCTGACAATTCAAAACTTAGCAGATCAAAATATGAATATGGACTTGATTGATTTATTGAGAAACCCCCCAAATCCACTCCTCCCTCCCTTCAAGCTCGATCAGCTCGTATCATGGCACTTACAACTCGTCCAATTGAAATAAGGACTATTGCGTTACGGGTCTATCATGAGCTGATTGCCTTTTACTGTATTTACGGGTAGGTTTCAGGTTTCAACTTATCGAAACCAGTTTCCAAATTTTTAAAACCCGAAACCAATCACAGGTTTCAAAGTTAGTTCCAACGTCTACCCAAGTTCTACATGTATTTTGAATTGAACGATTGCGGTGAATCATCACCTCTGATCACCACCATTTGTTATTACAATCTATTTATCATAACTCATATTTAGATACACGAAAAATATGAAATATTAATAAAGTGTAAGCCTCAGTCATGAATATCGCCGGAAATGAAAGCTCAGATTAGTGGTTCCAGTTTACGATATTACATACCCATAATCGGACGCCATAAAATACCGCAAGATTGCACGAAGACATAAAAAAAAAACACACAAAGACTTGTTTCAGGTTTCAAGACCTAGAATTTGCTCGTCGGAATCGATTCCCCAATTTTTGGAAGCTGGAACCTACCCTGGATATCTTGAAATCGGGCGGTTCCCTCCGGTCTGGTTCTCGGTTCTACCCTGAAATCATGCTTACTCCTAGTAATCTTGATTACAACCAAAGTTAGATCACTCTGTATTACAATCTCAGCTCATTCGACCAATGTTTGATTATAATTACAATTTACTTTCAAGGCTCCCACTTAGGAAAAATCAGGACGAGTCATGTTTTTCTCTATCCTTAGTTGCCTTTGATTGGTGGTTTGAAAACGCAAACATCACCTTCTTTTCATTTTAGTAAAGTTTGCATATCAGTGATGTCCATAACTTGTAACCCACCATTTAGAAGCATAATTGGAGAAAATTTCCTTAATCTAATATGGAGGAAATATAGCTCAATCGAGAAATAGTTGATTGAAAGGGCAAAATATATCTTTTATTTTTTCCTAAAAAAGAAAAGATCCGAGACTCAATTATGCAAATCAAAAAGTTCAGAATATGAATGAATTCCGTGCAATAAATTTAGGACTTGCCACGTCATAATTAAACGTGCCAACTGTTGCAAAATTCGGAATTGTCTGAAGATAGGGTTAAGTTCCCTCAATCCTTGCCAAATGTGCAATTGCATCCCAAAAATATCCCTAGACAATCAAGTCCGCTTTGCTTCTTTATACTGTTTAATCCTCTAACTTACTTATTGTAAGTAAACGAGTCCAATCGACGATGGTGTGTATGCGCGCGCGAACCCTCCCCACCGGCAAGGTTCAAAGGAAGGTCCCGGAATATCATAGGTTTCATTCGTGCTCATCTTCTAATCCGATATCTATGCAATGGTTCCTACTAATCCCCGAACTAAACCTATTGCGCTCATCGTTGAGAGAGAGAGAGAGAAAGAGAGATTGGAACCTTTCACCATCTCTCTCCTTGCTCCACATCTTCTCTTTGCTTACGCTCTTGTGCGCTACCATCTAGCAAAGATACTCTTACATGTAATATATTGGTAGGGAGAGGGAGAGCGAGAGAGATGGGTGAGATCGGGTTTGGTTTGGCTCGCGAAGCGGCTCTACCGATCCGAGACTTCCGATCAGCGCGACTTCATGTCCGAAGATCGCGGTTTCATCCGGCATTACCAGTCGAGTACGAGAGCTCGATTCCATGTTGGATCTAAAAGCAAATTAAAGCCTTGACCCCGACCGGTGCATCATCAACGGCAACGGAAAATTCCGTTAATAGCTGTTCATTCTATTTCTAGCCGAAACGTTAATGACTATATTACTGGCAGGATAACTATACTAACCGAGCAGATTCGGTTCGGAATAATTTCGATTTTTAAGCTAACCGGTCGTGCATGGTACAGGAGATGATCAATACATCGAAAACAACAACAACGAAAAAGGAAAATTTAGCTGGAGATCTCCATCAGCGTTATTAGTAGTAGACTATAATCCCGTTATAGTATCTAGGGGAACCTATATAGCTCGAATCATCGAAGCTGCGACTCGAGCCATCCGCACGCACGCGTGGGGGGACCCGAGCCGAGCCCCCCCTAGCGAGGCGCCACGTGGGCCGCGGCGGTCGCAACCGAACCGAACCGAACCCCACGACGACGACGACGACGTGACGACGTGGCCGGGGGGGCGCGGGGCCCACGTGGACGGCGTGGGCCCTCCCCCGGGGGTCCCGGGGGAACGAATTTAACGCGAAAGATTCTCTATCGCCACGGTACACGAAGGGGTAGGGGGGGGGGGGCGGGGACGAACCTGCCGAGGGCGGGCCCCACCCCCTACAGTGTCCGCCCCCCGCGGGCCCCACCGTTGAATGCCCAGGTCGTCCGGGGCGTTCGGCACGTGTCAGCGTCAGCCTTTACCGACCCCACCCCGCCACCCCCGCGTCGTGGGGGAAGCCCTGTTCACCCTTGGCCGAACGCGAAACGGCGTTGGAAAAAAAACGCAACTTTAATCCCCGTCGTTTCGCTTAATTTCTCGACGTTAACAAAAAAAAGAAAAAGAATCAAATCAATTCAGAGCGCACGAAACGGACCGAATCAGTTCTTCTCTTTTAAAGAAAGCATTCGCAAAATCATTTCGTCCATAAACGGTTTGCCGAAATCCGTTAAAGCGATCTTTGACACACACTGATCTCCATCTCTGCTTCCGTCGCTGGGACTCGGGAAAAAAGTTTCCCGTTACGGCCGTCCCGAAAGTGCGCAGGTAAAACCGTGGTCCCTTGTGACAAGGTCTTGGGAAGTGGGTGGTCACCAGCGTCAAACGTTGGGCAAACCTAGAGATGATGGATTTGGACATCGGTCGATTGAAACACGCCACCAGTTCCCGGGAAATTTATTCGCATCCCTTAGTATCTCATTATCATCGACGGTATATATCTAAACATTTTCGCCCGCGATAAAAATGCTTTTCGCATGTCCATTTTCGTGAGCGATACGAACGAGATCTGGCTTTGGGAAAAATATCTTCCGAATGATTACCGCTCCCGCGGTATCATATGGCACCTCATGAATGGCCAGTATTTACACGTTTGTTAGGCAGGATTGATATTGATCGGGCAATGGAGATCAGGTGGGGTCCTTGGTGTACTTCAAAAGAGAGTCTTGCACGCTTTAGGAAGGTACCTCGACGACTTGAGGTTGCCCAACTCCAGCTTGCGTCTTTTGTGCAAATGAGGGATGGGGGAATTCAAAGGCAAGGGAGGCGGGTCACCACTAGCTTCCTTCGATGTACAAATCTCGTGATGTGCCCATCGAGTTCCTTTTGGCTGCGTTCGGTAGACGGGCGGGGTAAAAAGTCGTTTTATTCCGTGTTCGGTTCCTGTTCGAGAAAGTATAGTGCCGAGCATAAGAGGTATATAGACCACGTGAAAATATCACGCGTGGAGGGTGAGGTAAAGGTGAATAGCCCGATAGGATTTCCTACATCCATGGTGTGAAAGCTATTTTTTTCCGAATAACAAACTTCTCGAATTAATAAAATTAAGGTAATAATTAAATTTAAGTAATATTTAATAATTCTGATACAACAAGTGAAATTAAAAAAATAACAAAAACAAAACTAATGACAGTTTTTGTTCTCATTTATCCATTTTGTATTTATATGTTTTAATTATTTCTATTCCATAATATACATTCTAAATATATATTTTTATATGTATCTAATATTTATATCATTACTTTTTTTTTTGTAAGGAAAATATTTATATTATTACTTATTTTAGGTATAATAGTATAGTTTATTATTTCATTGAATTTCTATTGAGGAATGATGGAAGGGAATGAAAAAGAAAGGGAAAATAATAAAACATAAGTAAGTAACCATGAACTAGAAGAACCCGGATTAATGAACAAATTTAAACTTAAAAAATTATGTCTAATTCTTGACGAACGAGGGTCAATGAGCTCCTTTGCCATTTAAGGTTTAGGTCGTATAATGATCATGGATTGATTAACGGAGATTGTCTCTGTTTGTACATTTGCGGTTTCTTGTAATAGTGAATTAC